AAAAAAAAAAAAAAAAAGATTTGCCATATCTAGGCTGGGCATGGTGGCTCACACCTATAATCCTGGCACTGTGGGAGGCTGAGGTGGGTGGATTGCCTGAGCTCATGGATTCGAGACCAGCCTGAACCAGAGCAAGACTCTATTTATAAAAATAGTCAGGCATTGTGGCAGGTGCCTGTAGTCCTAGCTACTTGGGAGAGTGAGGCAATAGAACTGCTTGAGCCCAAGAATTTGAGGTGGCTGTGAGCTAATATGCCACAGCACTCTACCAAGGGCGACAAAGTGAGATTCTGTCTGAAAGAAACCAAAAAAACAAAAAAACCCAACTTCCATGTAAATCATTTTGCTTATTCAACATTTACTGAGTACCATCTCATATGAGTACTAGGATTATAAAGATGAATAAAAGGTTGCTGAGAGGGAGTGAGGCCTAATGATGGAAGAAGACTTATCAACAGAGAAATCTTTATTTTCTTATTTTTGAGACAGGGTCTTGCTCGGTCACCTGGGCTAGAATACAGTGGTGTCATCACAGCTCACTGCAACCTCATTCTCTTACATTCAAGCTACCTTCCTGCCTTCCCCTCTCAAGTAACTGGACTACAAGTGTACATCATGACTTTGGGGGTGGGGGATGCAAGGAAAAGGAAAAAAGCCTCACCCACCAAATGCGCTTTTCTTCGCTCTTCTTTTTATTTTTTTAATTTTTTTTTATTTTTGAGACATAGTCTCATTCTGGTACCCAGGCTAGAGTGCTATCATGTCAGTCTAGCTTACAGCAACCTCAAACTCTTTGGATATAAGCAATCCTCCTGCCTCAGCCTCCTGAGTGGCTGGGACTATAGGCACCCACCACAACGCCCAGCTAATTTTTTCTATTTTTTGGTAGAGACAGGGTCTCACGTGATCCTTCCACCTCAGCACCCTAGAGTGCTAGGATTATAGACAAGAGCCACAATACTTGGCTACTAAACACACTTTTCAAGGAAGCACAGAAATTTTAAAAGGGACAAGGAATTTATTGGAGTAAGTAATAAAAGAAATGCTAAAAGGGGAAACACTCATATTACACAGGTAAATTGATAAAGAAAGTATCAAGGAGAGAAAAAAAGTAGGCTCAGAACTAGAGCAAGTGTTAAGTACCTGGAACAGATGTAAACCATTAGCATCTGATAAGAACCGAAGCTCTCGATCCAGAAGATATTCCACTGGAACCACAGAACCCAAACCCAGTTTATCTACCAGGGGAGTGAAAGTCTGTGAAATACAATGACAAGAAATTGATTAAAGCTCACAAATTAAAATAAATAATAATTCACTTGAATCTCTAACTTTAGAGAAAGTATCCATTATTATTATATCTTTCATCCCAGTAAATGCAGATAAGCTAAAGTATAAGTCCTTGGAAACACTCTAGCAACCTAGCATTGCCCCTCAAATAACCATAGGAAGCAAACTAAAGTAGAAGTCAGCACAATACTACCATATTGGCTAAAAAGACAGAGGAATGAGAAATTCTCCTCATTCTCCCTAGGGATCTGACTCATCTTGTCAGACTTCAAGGTGGCTAAATCACAGTAAATTCCCAGAATAAAGGTTATATCGCTACCATCTCTAGAATTCCTGAAATCTTGTGAAATTTTTAGTCACTGCTATAAATATGCATGGATAAATTCATATTACTATTTCATAAATAAACTATAAAAGATATGCAGAGACCTCATATCCATTTATGAAAGAGCTTATTCTCAAAGTTCAATCAGAGGCTGGGTGCAATGGCTCACTCCTGTAATCACAGCACTTGGGAGACCCAGGTGGGTGGATTGCCTGAGCTCCCATGTTCAAGATCAGCCTGAGCCAGAGCAAGACCTCATATCTAAAAATAACCAGGTGGCTGGGCATGGTGGCTCACACCTATTGTTCCAGAGCTGTGGGAGGCCAAGGCGGGTGGATTGCTTGAGCTCAGCTGAGTTTGAGACCAGAAGAAGACCAACATGAGCTGAAGTGAGCCAGAATGAGACTCTGTCTCTACAAAAAAAATGCCGGACGTTGTGGCGAACGCCTGTAATCCCAGTTACTTGGGGGGCAAAAGGGCAAGAGAATCGCTAAAGGGAAAAAAACAAAAAAAACAACTTCAAACTAAGATAAAGTGAAAGCCAGTTGAAATTGAAAGCAAAAATAAAAAAAGATAAAATAAAAATAACCAGGTGTTGTAGTGGGCATCTATAATCCCAGCTACTTGGAAGGCTGAGGCAACAGAATAACTTAAACCCACGAGTTTGAGGTTGCTGTGAGTTATGACGCCATAGCACTCTACTGAGGGTGACAAAGTGAGACTCTGTCTTTAAAAAAAAAAAAATTCAACCAGAAAGTGGCTTGAAAAACAAAGAATACCAAACCAAACCAAAACAAACAAAAGTTCAGTAAGTGATAAATATATACAACTCTAATAGGTAAAAATTATTTGTTTTAAATATTACTTAAATTACGGTACAATGGCTCAAACCTATAATGCTAGCACTCTGGAAGGCCGAGGCAGTAGGACTGCTTGAGCTCAGGAGTTGCAGACTACTCTGAGCAAGAGTAAGATTCCATCTCTACTAAAATAGAAAAATTAACTGTCCCTGGTGGTGAGCACCTGCAGCGCAGGCACCCCGTTCTAGGCAGGATAATTGCTTGAACCCAGAAGTTAGACGTTGCTGTGAGCTAGGCTGATATAACAAAAGCACTCCATCCTGGGCAACAGAGTTAAGACTCTGTCTCAAAAATAAATAAATAAGGCTGGGCGCTTGTAGCTCAGTGAGTAGGGCGCTAGCCACATACACTGAAGCTGGCTAGAGCCTGCTAAACAATAATGATAACTGCAACCAAAAAATAGCCAGGTGTTGTGGCGGGCACCTATAGTCCCAGGTACTCAAGAGGCTGAGGCAAGAAAATCCCCTAAGCCCAAGAGTTTGAGGGTGCTGTGAGGTAGACTGATGCCATGGCACTCTAGCCTCAGGCAATGGAGTAAGACTCTATCTCAAAAAAAAAAAAAAAAAATCAACTGATTTTGAACAAAATGCAATAAAAATTGAGGAAAAAAATAAATTTATCTTGCTTGGCCACAGGGGGAAAGAAGACAGGTTTTAGTGGTCCCTCCCGCCATCTGGGCAAGAGCAGGATTCATGCAGCCCTCCTCACCTCCCCCCAGGCTGCAGGTGGGGGCTCCACTGGAGGGTAGTACTTGGGCACGTCCCAGGCCACTGCCGCCATGAACCACTTGAAGTCCTTGCACTTGAGCTGTTTCCGTAGCTCCTTCTGGGCGGAGATGTCCCCTGTGGACAGGTGCCTGTACTCCGGCCGGCGCTGGTAAATGTACTCAGCAAATTCGTCCATCCAGGTCTCAGCCACCCGCTTCAGGTTCTGTGCAGCAGAGTAAACAAACAAAATAAAACAAAACCCGCATCATTTGTTGACTTAGGCACTGATAGGGTGGTTTTAGTCACACCAGATATTGAAAAAAGGAAAAGATCTTGGCCTCATTTGGATCTGGCTGGTGGCTTATTAACCGTGAGAGTTTTCCTGACTAGAGGAGCCAGAGAGGATGGCCTGGGGCTCTGCCTGTCCCTCTGCTCCTGGCAAGGAGCTCAGTTGTCAACCTGGTAACTAATTTAACAGAGCTGGTAAGGTCTGAGCTGGCGGCTGTATTAGCTTTCTTATCACGTTATTTCGTGGTTATGCATTTTTTAATTTTTCACAGAGAACTGAAGGTGTTGTTGAAGCTGGAGGGAATGAAGCTCCTCGAGGCGTCAAATTGTTTTAAAGCATTTCCAGAAACGGGGACCTTAGAAAGATTGAGAACAGACCCGCAGTCATTCTCTTTTCCCAAGTATGGAGAGACAGCCTGGCGCTATTAAAGTCAATACATTGGGTTCTGACACTTTATGCATGTGCCACACGGACGTGAACCAGCATTTACCACGCGGTAGTTGGGCTCCCCCCGCCCCCGCCT